GTTCTAACTTCCGGACTAGTTGTTCCAATCTTCGTTTACTTCCAGCTTCATTGGTCGGCAGGGTAGGGTGATTTACTTTCCATGGCAACTTTGTTTCGTACCAACCGGCTGGGCTTCGCTCAAGTTCCTCTTTGAATTCTTCATATACTTCAAGTTGATCGTTTTTATGGCCATCAGCGAGGCCAAGAACATCCAGGGAACACAACCACTCATAGTCGACTATGACGTCCTTTCTTCTCAGTGACATTAAGGTCCATCCAAGGCGAGTTTTCTCAGCTACAGGTTGTCCTGGTTTTCCTACTCTTTGCGCAGTGCTTGTTTTAATTGTGGCATACTCGCTTGCTTCCAAGACCACATGTATGGGAATTTGAGGTCTGGTATCGTTGTCTTCAATCTTCACTCCTTTGAGATGGCTGTATTTACTAAGCAGAGCTACATAATTAGGGTTGTCTAGTGTCAACAATTGTGGCTTATGAACTTTCGTCAGTTCAATATTCATGTCGAAACTTCCATTTACTGCTCCAAGAGTAGCTGAATAAATCTGTACATTGTGGTGGTGGATGATCCAAGCATCATGTCAGTTCGTTTAGTCAGTGTTTCTTCAGGCCTTTTTTTTAGAAGATTGATTAGTTTGTTCGAGGCGTACGAGCTTCCGGCACCGGTGTCGAGTAAAGCATGCGTTTTTATTCCGTCGATTTCTACAAGAATGATGGGATAAACTACTTCTTTGTTTTCTGATTGATGAGCTGTCAGAACACCTTCGGTTTTCATTTCCTTTGGTGAGCTACAGATCGAGGTATGGTGTTGCTTACCACGATGTTGACAGGTCGCGGTGCTTTTGCATTGCGATGATTTGTGCGGACCAGTGCAACTGAAACAGAGCCTTTTAGTACCCAGAAATTCTCTGCGTTCTGTCTGTGAGGTAATTTTTGCACATTCTGAGGCTTGTGATCTTCCGCTTGGCAAAAACACATTTTCGTGTCCTTCTCTGGTTTGTTTGGAACACGGGGTCTCGTTTCCGGAATGACTGTGAGTCTTCTAATTTAAAGTTGTCAATCGGATTTCGGCGCGTCTATTGTCGAAGGGCTTCAATGAATTTGACAAAATCCCAAGTTTCCCATTCTGGATCGTTTCGGACAAGGTCTCCTCTGATGATGAGCAATTTATCGAGCGTTGAGGAAATCATCCCGTTTACTTCATGGAGCGAGTTTAGTGTTTGCAGGGACTGTACGCTGTGGAATAGTTTGTCGTGAAATTCGCAAATTCGTTTGGGGGTTCTGGTCGGATTGTATGGCAACTCAAGAATTTCTTTCACATAGGCTTTCACGATTTCACTCTGCTTCCCAAACCGGTCTTTTAGGATCGATACAGTTCTGTTGTATCCTTCAACTGAATGGGGCAAGGCCTCGACTGTTTCCTGACTTTGGCGTCCAGCAATTCTCTTAGGTACGTGAACTTGGTCATAGGCGGCACATTAGTTTTGTCAATAGTTTCGGAATATTGACCCCAGAATCTCGGCCAGTCGGCGTAAGTCCCATTAAACTTGGTAATGACGAGCTTGGGTAGTTTCGCTCCACCAACAGAGGTTTCCACGGACGACTTTAGGTTTCCAGCCTTGATTTGAAGGTCTTCCTGTAATTTTAGCTTCGTCTCATGAAGTTTGATTTCGAACTGCATTTTCTCTTCTCGTTCTTACCTTTCTGCTTCCATTTTTCTATTTGCCAACCATTATTCAAGGTTTTCGATATGACCGTCCGCTTCTTCTATTTTTTCGGTAATCGCATCATTCCAATCGCTAATATCTCCATCGTTGAATTTTGCCTCTATCTTCAGTGCTTCAACCGTTCTTCTAGCACTGTCAACTTCAGCGAAAAGTTCCTTTAGATTCGTCAATTGTCTCTTTATTGCAGACTGTTTCTCGCTTCAGCTCTTTGAAGTTGTTTTAATTTGGTTTTGAGTGTAGATTCGGCGTTATCCATGGTTTGAGGTTTAGGCGTTGATGCGTCGGCTTCGCTATTTGTTCGAATCGTCAAGGTATAAGGTAAATTGAGGACGTTTAAATTTTACTCACAAGGTCCCTTCGTGGTCGCCACGTTTCCTGGAATTCTCTGGCCGCAAGAGAGAGTGTCCAAGAGAAGTCTCTTGGAACTTCACCATCTGCTCTACCAGCTGGGCGACCGCAATTCGTGAGGATTCAAACCTCATTTTATTCAACATAGCTACAAAATACCGCTCTTACAACAGAGTAGAAAGACATTTCTGAGTAAAATAAGGTGAGGAATCAAACCTCAGACTTTGCAATATGCTCTACCACCTGAGCTTGATTAAAATGTGGGTCGACCTTTGTAAGAAATTATACGTTAGACGTGTGAAATGAAAATATCCAGTCGTTGTCTTTTATGAAGATTCAAATCTCAGATCTACCGATTTTGCTGTCATATAATCTACATGCTTAAGAATATTGAACTTGTGCAGGAAAATCAAAGTAACTGGGTCAACGACGATAAGGATTCAAACCTTGGACCTTAAAACTTCGCATTCTGCTCTACTAGCTGGGCTACTAGCTGGGTAGGAAACCTCAGACTTCACAATATCGGTATCAAATGCTCTACGTCCTCTACCAACTGAGCTCAGATAAAATGTGGATCGACATTTGTAGATAAATTACACTATCTCCCACAACAAGAGGGGGTAGCGGCTTTGCTTTCTTATCATGGTACCTCTTGTTCTGTCGCTTCTTCTTGACTGAAGCTCGTATGATGCTTGAGGTTGGTATCACGTGGGGTTCAAGTAACTCTGATTTCACTGGTATAACTCTTCTTGTTCTTCTGGAGTTCAATTTCTCATTTGGTGATGCCAACTCATCAGGTGTATTCCTTTGTTCCAAAATAGCCATCCAGGGGTCGTGACTCATCTTGAGTATCCTCTTAGCTTGTTTGACTGCAGCTTCCGCTGTACCGTTTCCTTTGGATGGTGTGATGATGAGGTATAGTGATGAAAGTTCCAACTCTCTGAAAACTCCTTAAATTCCTTGCTAGCATATTGAGGACCATTGTCTGATATCACCACCTCAGGGACTCCCTGCCGGGTGAAAATATTCTTCGTCTGTAAGATTGTGGACTCGGCATCAGTATCATTCAGTTGCTCTAAGTCCCAGTATTTTGAGAGATTATCCACAACTACCAAGTAGACGTCTTTCTTCACATTGAAAAGAACAGTACCGACTATTTGCCATTTTCTCTTTGGAATAGGTTGGCTCTGCATGGTTTCTCTAGGTTGATCTGGCTTAGCTTCCTGACATATTGAACAGTTATCTCAGAGATATTTGATATCATGATGAATCGATGGCCAATACAATGTATCTCTTGCGAGTCTCATACATCCCTGTGCTCCTAGGTGAGCGGAGTGTGTTTTTTCTAACATCGATGGGCGCATAGCCGTGGGAATGAGCACTCTCGTTCCTCTGTAGATTATTCCATCCTGAACTGCTAGTTCATCTCTATACGGCCAGTAGTCTCGGACATTGGGCGGTACTTGCGTCTTGTCCTCAGGCCATCCATTAGCTATAATTTCAGCTAAGGTCATGAGATTTCCGTCTTTTGAGGTTGCTGTTGCTACTTTCTGAAGGGTTGCATCTGTCATGTTATGAAAGATATTTGGATCTGTTCCTTCGATCTCTTTCATGAGAAGTTCTTCTGCGTGAAGTGTAAAGACTTCATAATCATCTATTTCCTTCTTTTGCGTTCGGCCGTTTGGGAGGGCAGATCTTGACAGATGATCACTTATGTACATGTAAGTTCCCTTTTTGCACACAATATTCAGGCGGCACTTTTGCAGTCGTAGCATCATGCGTTGTAACCTCTTGGGCGTGCTGTTGATACTTTTGGCAAGTATGGTTTCTAGAGGCTTATGATCTGTGACTGTTGTGATCTTTTCTCTTCCATGGAGATAGTGGTCAAATCGTGTACAACCAAAGACCAGTGCAAGGCATTCCTTCTCGATCTGAGAGTAACGTCTCTCAGTCTCAGTCATAGTGCGGCTAGCAAATGCCACTGGTCTGCCGGCTTGAAGTAGAACAGCTCATAGTCCATAGTCACTTGCATCTGTCTCAATCGTTACTTCTTCCTCCAAGTCGTAGTAACGGAGTAGTGGCGGTTCTGAAATCAGCTGAGTCAACTTGTTAAAGGCATCTTGGTGAACTTTCGATCAAATGAATTGGTTTTGCTCTTTGGTTAGGTTTCTGAGAGGTTCAGTTACGTCGGACAACTGAGGTAAAAATTCGCCCAGATAATTGATCATTCCAAGTAGTCTTCTTACTTCAGTCTGCGTGGTCTCGGCATCTGAGTGATGACTTCAACTTTGGCTGGGTCTGGTAAAACACCCTCAGAAGTCAAGATATGACTACAGTACTTCAACTTCTGTTGTTTGAAGACGAACTCGTCCTTGTTTAGTTTGAAGTTTCGCTCCCTGATCTCTGTAGCAACGCAATCAGATTTCAGTCATGGTCTGCCAAGGCTTCTTCATGGGTGTTTCCTGCTCCAGTTACTAACAAGTCATCAGCTATAGCAGTTACTCCTTACAGGCCCTCGATGATTTCATTTACATGTCTCTGAAATTCTTCTGGTGCACTACATATGCCGAAAGGCATCCTAAGCCAATTGTATCTACCAAAAGGGGTGTGAAATGTTGTTAATTTGCTAAAGTCCTCTTCTAGCTTCACTTGCAGAAACCCATCTTTAGCCTCCAGGACTGTGAACACTTGCGCTTTAGCAAGCCTGGAGGTCACATCATCAATGGTTGGAAGGCAGAGCTTTGGTATTTTGATATGCTTGTTCAATTCTCTGGGATCCAGGCAAACACGTAGTTGGCCATTGCGCTTCTTCACATATACTGCACTGCTCACTCAGTCTGTTGGCTTATCAACTTTCGCTATGTGGCCTTTCTGCTCCATTTCATAAAGTTTCTTCTTGAGATCGTCTCTCAGTGCGATGGGTACGGTTCTAGGCGCATCTTGTTTCGGTACTGCTCCTATCTGTTAGTTCAATCTTGTAATTTCCAATGTACCATAACCCAGTGAATACATCGTTGTGTTCTTGTAAAATGTCATCCTTGGTCAACCCTTTCACGTTGGAAACTGAGTTGACGAATAATCCTCTTTTAATAGACAAGAGTTCCAACTCCTCACACATTTTTCCTGATAACAGTGAACTTGGAGCATCATCAATCACTAAGAATTTTGCTCTGGTTATTTTTCCACCAATCTGGATGTCAAGGTAGATTTCACCTTTGGAAAACACACGTTCTCCATTGTACGCTTTCAAAATGGCACGAGTTTTCTTCAAGTCTGGTCGATTTTGAATCTTTATAAAATCTTCCATTCTCAAGCAATTAGCCTCTGATACGCTATCAATGTGCATGGTCACCTCAATCCAATTACTTGTCTGTCCACTTCTCAGCTGAGGTTGAATCATGTATTTAGAACGGCTGCTGTCAATGAATGAATACATGCATTAAACTTCATCATCAGTGATTGCTGGTTCGGCTTCTTCAATTCGATGAATACTCCTCGTAGGTTTCTTGGAAACGCTCTTCACAGGTTTCTGTGTTCTCCTTTGAGATTCTTGATCTCGACTTCTGCACATCTTAGCAAAATGGTTCTTCATGTTACACTTGCTGCATATTTTTCCATAAGCCGGACACTGGCGCAAATTGTGGTTCGTTCTACAATATTTACATTATTTCACCGTTTCTACTCGTCGTGTAAAATCTGGTTTCTTTCCTTCGTACTTGACAGCGTGCACTAAAGTTTCTATTTCTCCATCAATCTTTTTCAGTTGATCTCTGGCTATTTCTGCAGCTCTAGTTATGTCTAAGGCTATAATGAGAGTGACAGCTTTCTCACGGAGTAGTCGTATTCTGACTTCATGGCTTTCGATTCCAATGACCAGTCTGTCTCGAATCAGTTCGTCACACAGAGCGCCATAAGCATAGGTTGACGCTAGCTTTCGCAGTCTGTCAAGGTATTGATCGATATTTTCATTTTCTTGGTTGGCACTGTTGAACGGGTAACACTCAAAAATAATATTCATCTGTGGTTCAAAATGCTGCGTCAGGGCCTGCAAGAAGCCATCAGGATTTGTAGGATCAGCTACAGGCAGATTTTTAGCTATTTGTTAAGTCTCTCTTCCCAGAACTATCTTAAGAGTTTCCAAAATGACTGGTTTGGGTTTCTTATCAAGTTCAGTTGCTATCTTATAGCTCTCCCAACTCTCTCTGAAAAAAGTCCAATTCTCTGCCAGGTTCCCCTTGAGACTGGAGGTGGCGTTGGTAACTGACTGCACATCATCATCTGTGTAGGTGGCACAATAGGTTGCGCAAGAGGTGCTTTTGGAGGATTCTCTTGCACGGGAGGGTCCTCTTGATAATCCATCCTGTTAATTCTTTTTTTTTCCTCGTGAGACGTTCGCTAAGTGTATTCTAGGCTCTGGCCTTTCGCAGAAATACAGTTTCCTCAATGTGTGAACCTCGAAATTCACTTCAAATTTCACAAGTGGCAGTGCTAAGGCTTCCGGTCTGTCCAATAACACCGCTAGATTCTTTTAGCACCCGCGATTAATTCTTCTGTCTTGGCTTGGATCGACGAAATCTGTCTTCAATTTTGTAATCCACTTCCTGACACCATGAAGTGTGGACGTCTTTTATTCTGCAGCATACACCTTTATTGATATCTGTCGGGCTATACCAGCTTTTAAACTACTCGCTACATCTAGTGACAAGGTCTGCTTTTATATGTACGGTTGAGGATCTAGAACGTTCCGTAACATTACAACAGATTCCATTTATATATTGATTCAGGGATGACTCAACATGACACAGCTACTTCTAGAACATTTTTGAAGGTCACACTACAAAAAGTGTGAAATGAAAATTTGTGGTCGACTTTTATGAGCATTCAAACGTCAGATCTACCATTTTCGCTGTCAGATACTCTACCTGCTAAATTTTACAAACCTGGTGCAGTTATTGTTTTTTTCACACTGACATATGTATTTTGTTCGTTTCTGAGTGTGTGATCAACAGGTTATTCAGATGCAGTTATGGTTTTGCTGAAATCAGACACCTGGTAAATTTAAGTCAGCGATCTAGTGGACCAATCAATACATCTTTACAAATTTGGACAGCTGCTCAGCTGTTCAGGTAAGGATTAAATCAGAGATGTCGAAGATTCATGAAGTATAATTGAACTGTTAAAATCATAAATATGTCATCTTTAAGTTAGTTTCAAACTGGTGGAGAACTGCAAGTATATTTCAGTGACAATCATGAAATGTATATTTCTTGAAGAAGAGAAAGTTCTAGGTCATAACCATTTTAAGCCTAATATTTAATTCTTTAGTACGAAAAATGAAATGATAAAACTCATTACGAAACAAACGAATCAAACCAAAAACAAAGAAACAATTTGATGCAATTATTCTCCCCCGTTGCTCACAATGATCAAAGAAAATTTCTACATGAATAGCACTAAAGGTGCCACTAAAAGAGAAGAAATGTAGCTTAGAAGTAGACATATTTTCCCTCTCTTTCAAATTTTTATTAATTTATTCATATGTTTTTCTACATTTCTGACCCTTATTTTTGGAATGTTTAGTTTTTAAATGTTTACAACAGAGATAGAGGATGAGTTTAAGAGATTTCAATTTGATGTGGACGTCTATCAGCACAAGTCATTTACCTCAAGCACTCTTCTTTTTCAGCTCAAGGATCGTGTTCCATAAAAAGACACTTTGCTCCCAAGGGGCAAGTTGGATCACAAAAAGTAAATGGTACTATATATAGGATAGTAAAAGAAAAAAATTACGATCTGAGTCCCTTGTGAGGATTCCAACCTCAAGCAGTCAGCCCAAATAAGGCGATCCCAGCTGCGTGGAGAGTTTCGCGCACTCCACTCAGTGCTTGTTTATTTTCGCGTCCCGAGGAGAGGTGCAGTGCAGATTGCCCATACTTCGGTCTCACCCTCTAGTACCTCGGCATACGCTCGTATCGTATTTGCTTTTATGTTTTGGGTTTTTGCTTTCTTCTTTTATTTTGATACGAGCAATAAACCGTTAAATAAGTCTCAAACCCGGAGGCCAGACCCATTTCAGGTGTCGGCTGTAACCACCAGAGGACTGTGACTGTATTCAAGCGGGGATCGTACTTTTTTTTTTTTCTACGGCACTGTTGACATTCAAAGTCAAAGGAATACAAGAATCTCCTGCCAGGTTGGAAAGTATCTCCTCCGTTGAACAATGATAACAAATTATTATATTTGCATAACGCAACAAGGGCGACTGAAGCTTCCAGAGCTTAACTTGAGAGGGGCCACTAGAAAAAAATTGTTTATGTAATGACAGTTCAAAATCAATTGTCTCTATTTTTATCAGCTAAGCAGAGAGCAAAACTGGGTCAACTTCCACAAGGATTCAAACCTTAAACCCTAAGACTTCGCCATCTGCTCTACTAGCTGGGCAGAAGAAGAAACTCGGGTCGACCGCAGTTCGTGAGGATTCGAACCTCATTTTATTCAACATCGCTACAAATTACCGCTCTCACAACAGACTAGAGAGACACATTTCTGAGTAAAAAACGTGAGAATTCAAACCTCAGACTTTGCAATATCGGTACCAAATGCTCTATCACCTGAGCTAAAATAAGGACAAATTTCTGGGGAAATTCACGTGAGGATTCTATAAAACCTCAGACTTTGCGATCTCGGTATCAAATGCTCTACCAGTTGAGTAGAGAAATAAGTGTGGGTCGACCTTGTTAAGAAACTGCATAAGTATGAAATTTCAGGTCGACCTTCATGAGGATTCAAACCTCAGATCTATCTATTTTCTCTTAGATGCTCTACATGCTGAAGTACGAAAAAGTCGTGCTGTTATTGTTCTTATCTCACACTAAACATCGTATTTTGTTTGGTGCTTGAATAGGTGAGCAACAGGTTGTAAAGATGCAGTTGATGTATTGCTGGAATCAAATGCCTGATCAATTATAGTTGGTTTTCAAGTCAGCGATCTAGTGGCCCAGTCAACGGGGCTTTTTATTTATCTAGGGCTGCTTATATAGCTGTTCAGGTAAGGATTAAGTCAGAAATATCTGAGATTCCTGAGGTAAGACTAAGCTGTTCAATTCAGTAAATATGTTATTTATGAGGAAAGATACCAAATGCAACTGAAATTTAGTACTTAAACGGGTGGAGAACTGTAAGTATGCTTCAGCAACAATCATGAAGTGATAGCCCAAATCAATTTGGTATTTAAGGCAGCCATGAAGAGGACCATTCACCAGAGCTCCTCATGTAGGGAGTGCTGCTTAGCCGTTCAGCTAAGACTGGAATGAGATACACAGGTTGTTTATTAAGTATGTACAAACTGTACCTGTTATAAAATACGCATCTCTCTGCGCTTATAATGAAGGTGTTAGCTGTAACAAATATATCGTCCTTTGCATTTAATTTAGTTGATTAATGGAACTGTAGTATAATTGATTTACTCCAAGTACTCTTCTTTTCAGCTGGAAAATCATAATTTTCCCCAAGCGGACAAGTTGGATGACAGAAGGCACTTGGTACCGTAGATGTTATGCTAAGGTAACAAATAAGAAAAATCCCCAACCAAGTTTATTTTCGAAAAGTTGAGAAAGATTCAAACTAAAAGAAAAAGAAACAAAGCAACACCTTAAACAATATTATCCTGACGAAAGAGTTTAGGCATTTTTGTTACGAGCTCCTTTCCCCCAGCAAGACACGAATGTGTCCACATGATTTCTATATTTCAGCCGACCTACGGTGGAACTTTCCTTTCATCTTATCAAAGGAAAAATTCGAAAAATCACATCTTACAAAGGCTTGATTTCAAAAGGCACTTATCGACACGCACGGATAAGGGTGAAAGACAGTTTTGACTTAAACTGTACAAAAAATGAAATCCTGTTATTAGAATAAATCTGCATTGCTCCTGTGGATCAAATGAAGCTTTGGTTAAACTGGCAGTGTATGTATGTGTCTATGCCTCAGTGATATCACTGATATTCTTCTTCTCTCTCTTTTTCTAGGTGTGTTTCTTTGTAAGCTCTGAACCCACCATCTTCTTTCGAAGTTGTGGTACCTATGCATCATGTGTTTGTCAACAAGAAAGCAGTTCAAAAGTTGCAGTGTCAATGCATCATGTGTTTGTTAACAAGGAAGCAGTTCAAAAGTTGTGGTGTCGATTCATTATGTGTTTGTTAAAAAGGAAGCAGTTCAAAAGTTGTGGTGTCGATGCATCATGTATTTGTTAAAAAGGAAGCAGTTCAAAAGTTGTGGTGTCGATGCATCATGTGTTTGTCGACAAGCTGGCAGTTTAAGAGTTGTGGTGGCATTGTATCATGTGTTCCTTAACAAGGAAGCAGTTTAAAAGTTGTGGTGTCGATGCATCATGTGTTTGTTAAAAAGGAAGCATTTCAAAAGTTGCAGTGTCGATGC